TATATATATATTATATATATATATATATATATATATATATATATATACGTATACCGACATGCAGTCACTAGCACGACACTTATATACTGTGCTATTGTCTTATACGTGGAGACATTTAGCTAAATTATGCATCTCGGTAATTTCATTTTTCCTTCTGGTGATTCTCAGATCACAGTGTCTCGACAACTAACTTTGTTTGTTATATTTAAAAGGAATGCTGTTAAAGACTGTAAACGGACGGCGACAAGAGCAACGCTCGATCGAAGATGGTCGCTGTGCGCTGATCTTCATGATTTAGCCGCCAAAACGAATCTCGTTTTGTCGTCCCAACGTACGAGAAAACTGTAACTTACTGCTGTACAATTCGTTGTGGAATCCCTTTGAGTAGATCATGCCTGGGGTGTAGAGCTTGCCGAATTTCAGTGCGATCTTAGCATCCTGGACACTGTAATCACAACAGACACAGGTATATAGTAATGCTGAAAACTAGTATCGTAGACTACTACTTAATTTTATCGTGGGTTTTAGATATTTTTTAAGAATCAAGAAACTTTATATATAGATATGATTTATGTTTCGATTGATTTTTGAATGGCGAGTGTCCGCACCACCCATGTTACTGGTGAGAGACTAGCATACACTTACCATACGCCCTAGTTCTTTACATTTCTACAGGCTCGACAATCAGCCAGAGGCATCCCCGAATTAAATATCTATAGTTGATCGTATTGGATCTATCTTAGTATAGATCATCGAATCTATTCGCCGCCGAGGCGAACAATGAGGAACCGCGCAGGAACTCATCGAAAGCTTCAAGAACGCAAACATCGAGAAAATAAAAACAAAATAGCGCGCGCGCGTGCGTTCGGTGTATACTTACATTTGCTTCATGCACTGCGAGGTGGCGTTGGACATGGAGCTGATGTAAGAGTAGACGAATGATCCGACGTGCAGGCTAGGCTCCATCTTCAGCTGGTCAACGAGCAGCTCGAGGATGGGCAGCTTGGGTCCGGTCTGCATGATCGTCACGAAGGCAGCGATCCTCAGCTCGTGGTCCTCGTTGATGTTGCGGTAGATGGGAGTGAGCAGGGCCATGACCTGTTGCGAGAAAAAACGAAGGCGGAAAATTAAGATACGATAACGAAGAAGATTAACAAAACTGCGGGCAGTATGTGAATCATCTGTTCGTGCGAGAAGGCGGAAAATTAAGATACGATAACGAAAGATATTGACATGCAGCAAAGCTATCTCATGTTCTTGCAAGAAGAAACGCAGACGGAATTTTTAGATCCGGTGGAAAATATAAATGCGATAACAAAGGAGATAGGTAGAACTACGGACAGCACAGATATCACGTCTTCTTGCGAGAAAAGCACTCGGAACGTTTAACTATTTAATTTTTGAAGCCGATAATTATTACATTATTAGCGCTAATGCGCCGATGATTAATTTTAAAGATGTCCTGGGTAAAGAAGTCGTCGTGGTTTTCATGCGTAAGAACGACCAGGAACCCGTCTGACCACTAGGTGTCGTGGCACGAACTGCTGCTACGTTAGTCAATGTTAATACGAAGATGAAATCTGATAAATTAAGATTCATAACCTCGTAACCTCGTAAATCATAATAGCCTTCAAAGTCCAAGAGACTATATCGAGGACGGAAAGAGACAATTTGATGAAATAGACAGATCAACACTGCGGATTGCAGCAGATGCATGGGCCCTGCGTAAAGCCTCCTCACCCACCTTCTCTGGTTGATGCTCGATGATGTGTTTCAGAGCGAAGATGGCTTCAACGCGCACGTGTAGGGGGCGCTGCCTGTTCATGATGATTTCGGCGAGGACGGGCAGGTGGGATTCCAGACCCATGTTACCGAGAGACTTGATGAGGAGCAGCTGGTTCTCGAGCTCATTGGTGCTTCCGACGGTGACGTCACGCAGTGGAGCCTGGAGAAGAAACAATGTTTTAATCTCCGTGAATACCGAGGGTGTTATCAGGCGTCACGTTATATTTATGTGTTTGTAGTCACTTTGAATCTGTTTTAATGTTTGAACAGAAGGCCTGGGTAAGTATTACGGTGATTATTGCCACCTGGTTGATTAATTAATTAAGTCTTTTGGCAAAAATCGTTGGCGCCATAATTAGCGATAAATTGCTATTTCTCAATTAGTCTCGTCAGGTTCGTCTAACTTTTGCCACGTATCGAAACGCGAATGTCACTTAATTTTACTACCTAGTATAAATTCTGTGCACGAGATATATGAACACGAAATAATGTAAGTAATAAAGTAATAATAAAGTATTATATATGCGTACCAGATATCTGGTCTCGGTGCACAAGCCGCTGTTGACGCTAGTGTAGGAGTGCTTGCAGATCCTGTGAATGAGGTTGGAGACAGCGAGCCAGCAAGACTTCTTCAACATGGCAACGTTAAAGACAACACGCGACTTGCAGACTTCCTACGGAATTCCAAGAGAAGAGTATTTTAATAATACACGTCAAGCACAGACGCATACTTACGTATACGTACACACTAACAGGTTTGTATATCCGAAGCCTAAATATACACGAGAAGATATTATGTGTATTATATTTTAACTGAAATATCAAGAACTCCAACCCCGATGAACAGTTTTACGCAGGTAAAACAAAACATCACCACTTCATAGCACCTATACCGAGCACCTAAATTGTCTCAAGCACCTATAGCACCAAAACATCAACCACCCTATGGAAACCAAACACAGCACACGACACATCACCCTACCCCATCCATCTCGTCTAATCCACCACTGACCCATTGCTGTATATACGATCATGTATACGCAGTCATATAAATCACATTTATGTGTCGGACAAAGTAAAGTCCCGTATTCAAAATAACCGCGTTTTGAAACTCAATTTAATTGAAATTAAATTAAATTAAAATAAAATATTTAAATGCAATTAAATTGAAATCTAAATACAGATCGATGCACATCGAGACTATAGTAACAGGTGAAGGACGTGGGTGCTCACCATCAAGAGCTCAGCATTCTGCTCAGAGGGCTTGGCATCCAGTCCGAGAGGGATGAGCATCCTGACTGCCTGGGCCGTGCTGACCTTCTGGTTTATGATCAGATCCTTGATGATTTTGATCGCCTCCTCGTGACCCAGGTACGGGATGATATCGTGCAGGGTCTCGCTATACACGAGGAAAACACATAACGCGTCTTATAGCGTGACGTCACCCATATCTAGTCTATAGTTAGCGTTTCACCAGCCGATTGCTGTGGCGGGTAACTATATGCAATATACTGTACGAGGAAAGTACACAACGCTTATTCTGAGCGAGAACACGCTATTTTAGCGAGACGTTACAAAATCCAGTCTATGCTAAAAATGCCAAAAGGCCGTTTCGTCTCATTGCTGTGATCGGTAAGTATATCTGCAATTGCGCGAATGTAAATTTCATGGTTGTATTCGGTGTCATTCGACACACAATCGAGGGTTGCTTTGCAATGCGTCTTCTTTGTAAGAACGCATTGCTTCACAGTGAGTCTTGTGTGTGTATTCAATTCAAACCTACGTTATATAACATATATATATAATGGTTGCGTTAGTTTACTTCGTGTTAATGTAGGAAGGCGGGTCATACGTTCTCAACAAATTCAACGGTAATTAATATCCGCCATGATATACAAGGTTAAGATCAATATTAGAATAGGTCACGCACAAACTTATATCGTCCTTACATTATCGTTTCCTGTGCCTCTCTATCGTAGCTTCCGCGGCTGATGAACTTGTTGTAGATGGTGCGCAGCTGACGTGGCGGGGTGTTTATCAGGTGGTGGAAGATCTCACGCAGTATGGGCACGATCTCCTCCGTGGATCTTCCCTCCTTCACGGCGCGCACGAACGACTCCAGTAAGCCAGAGATCTGCGTAAGATCGAAGGGCAATCAATCAATCACACGCGTATAACAACACTGAATCCGATCTTTCATATGTGTGTGTGTGTGTGTGTGTGTGTGTGTGTGTGTGTGTGTGTGTGTGTGTGTGTGTGTGTG